GTTTGTATATTAAGGGAACAGGCATCACCGCTTCCCTCACTGTAACCAGTAAGTCCTCACTGGGACTCAGGGGCCCCGTGGGTTCTAGTAGTGGCCCTCCTACTTGGGTGACCTTGGACAAGTCTCTTAACTCCCTGGTACTTTAGTTTCCTATTTGTAGAATGAAGAAGTTGGACAAGAAGCTATCCAGCTGGTCTCTTCCAGCTCTCACCTCCTGGGATAGTTTATTTAATGTAGGATTTGTATTTTATAAGTACTCTGAAGAGCTCAGTCTGAAATGCCTATTTGTCAGTGCAAAGGAGCATAAAATATAAGACATTCTGTTCATCAGAGACTTGACTAAGGGCTAGAAATTCATGTTTCCCTTTAAATTAAATCAGTGGATGATCTCAAATACCATAGGTTTCATTCATTAATAATTAAAAGAGCCTGTAACTTCAGTGACAGCAAGGACGGCTTCTCTCTCACTCGTGTTTTGGTGGCATCTGGCACAGAGAAGCAACTTAATAAATATTTGTTAACTGAAGAAATAAATGAGAGTTGTATGGACCATGATCTGCCTTCGGAATTTCACTGGTATGCAGGTGCACTGAGTAGAGGAAGAAAATACTGTTTTAAAATGTAGTTTATTTGTGGAAAGCAACTTAATATAATGGAATAAACTAACCTAGGAGATGAGAAACCTTGTTGTAATGTCACCTGAGCCACCAGCCATCTCTCTGTGTGACTTTGGGCACAGTCCTTAACATCCTTGGATCTTTTGCCATAATAGGTAAGGTTGGGGCTGCAGTAGGTGATCCTTAAAGATCCTCAGTCCTTAAATTCTCTGATACGATATTTTAAACATCTATTTTTTTGGTGTGATATGACTACATGAACTACCCTTTGCAGGTGAAGATGATTCTACCTCTTTATGTTAGTACAGTGTGATACTCGAGTTGTTTTCCCAGTAAGGGTTGTGGGCAATACTCAGCTTTCACTGTTGTATTAATATTCTTAACCTTGTATTCCTTGCTTTGTACACATGCCTCCTTCACGAAGAGTTTCAGACTTGCTTTTGTAAGCTGCTTTGTAACTGTACAGTAACCTCTCCTGGCTCTGAACTTAGTGCCTCTGTTATGTGTATACTTGGAGCCCTGAGGAGCCATGCCAGGCTCGAACACTGGAATTCGAGCACCACTGTCCTGTGGTGTTGAACCTTGTGTATAGCTGACATTTCTTAAATCACTTCTTAATTTTGTACATTTTTGGTTGAATCACATAGGTGGGTTTGGCTGCAGTATTAGGACACTTGCCTCTGTATCCTTGATGTAGGGCCAGGGAGGAATTGTGAATGTAACAACGGTGTTCTTCAGTGAATTTCAGGGCACTACATTTTATTCTTCTAAGTGGAATAAAAATAATAGTGAAACTTAAGGAAAAGACAGGAAAAGAGTTAGCCTTGTATAGAAAGAAAATTTTACAAAGTATATAAATCCTCTTGGTCAAATAACTCTTTGGTTTGGTAAGAGGTGGGAAGCTGTACACACTCTCATTAGCGTACTGCCTAAAAAAAATGCTCTTTCCCCCTCCAGAAGCTGGAAGTCACCCACAAGAAACAGCAGCATTGGAAGAAAACGAAGAGAATGCGCAGGATGCCACAAGCAAGAGTAATAAAAAGGATGTTTTTAGCTACGGTGAGAACAAAGCTGGTCCTAGTACAGTGTTCATTCACATTCAGAAATCCTTGAGAAAATACCTCGAAAATCTGCAGATTTAAACAGTTTAATAATGTTTTTAAAAAATGTTTGCTAGCAGGTAACAGGAAGATAGAGCAATAGAGTTTTAGGGGTTTTTCCTTCAGTGGTGCTGGCTGCTATTTGGCCATCCTTAATAAAATGGGAACTCCCATAGGAGGAGAGGTACTTCATAAATGAGAAACTAAAGCTGCCTTTTCGATTAGGGGATGTTAACCTCTCAAGTAGCCTTTTTATACTTTGACCCTTTGAAAAAATAAAAGGCCTGTAACAGGTGGTAGGTACTTGGAGAAGGTAGAATATCCTGATAGTTCAACATATTGTAACAAAACTATATAAACTTAGCTTTCACCTTTTAACATAGAAATTGTATCTTCAAAAAATTAAATCTAAGAAATCGGAGAAAAAGTATATCTGATAGATTTTAAGAGCGGAAAGCTTAAAGGATTCCGGCAAAAGAAGCCACAACCCATAAAGCCTGACAGCACCCCTCTGCCTCATTTCAGTTCACCACAGGCTCTGCTTGACTCACGTTCTCTCTCATTCTGTCGTTTCTCTGTTTCATTCTCGGACAGGCTCCGCCGTCGTTCTTGGCTTCCTGGTTGTGATTGTTTTGCTAAGCTATGCTCAAAGCTACTGTTCCTCCCCAGCTCAGCAAGTGCTCAAGAATCCAGCCTTGGAGGCCTTCCTGGCTCAGTTCAGCCAGTTGAGGGATGCGTTTCCAGGCCAGAGTGCCTTTCTGTGGCAGAGAGGACAGAAGTTTCTCCAGAAGCACCTCAATGCTTCGCACCCCACCGAGCCGGCCACCGTCATATTCACTGCCGCTCGAGAGGGGAGGGAGACCCTCAAGTGTCTCAGCCATCGCGTCGCGGATGCCTACACCTCCTCCCAGAAAGTCTCTGCCATTCAGATCGACGGGGCCGGAAGAACCTTGCAGGACAGTGACACCGTCAAGCTATTGGTAGACATGGAACTGAGCTCTGGATTTGAGAACGGCAAGAAGGCCGCCGTGGTGCACCGCTTCGAGTCCCTTCCTGCAGGCTCCACCTTGATCTTCTACAAGTACTGCGACCACGAGAACGCTGCCTTCAAAGACGTGGCCCTGGTCCTGACCGTGCTCCTAGAGGACGACACATTAGAAGCAAGCGTCAGCCCAAGGGAAACCGAAGAGAAAGTGAGAGATTTACTCTGGGCCCGGTTTACCAACTCGAACGCTCCCAACTCCTTCAACCACATGGACTCGGATAAACTGAGTGGGCTGTGGAGCCGCATTTCACACCTGGTGCTCCCTGTCCAGCCAGTGAGGACCATCGAGGAACAGGGCTGCCGGCTCTAAGCTAAGCACGGAGAGTTGGTAATGGAAGTTTATTAGGGTTTGTTAAAGACAGTTTAAAAGCCTTCCATGTCTGTGGAAGGAGATTGATGAGGGTGAGGAAATCGCCTGGAATGCACAAGTGAGCTTATTTTAGAAAACACATCTTTTAGTTTTTACTTTTTGTAAAATTTTTCTAATCCAAGCTTGACGAAGGTAAAAGCTGACTTTTTTTTCTTGCTTTTCAAGCAAGTCAAATTTGAAATATAGCACACTATATGTAACTGAGGATTTTTAAAAATCTAAAAATATAGCAGCAGAATTATTGCACAGGAAAATAATCTCAGAGTAACTACAGAGTGATTTTTGTTTTCTTAAATTTATCTTTATTATTGACAGAATTACAGATGTCCCCATTTTGATTTTTGTTTTCTTGAGACTCTAAAAATCCTTTTGGGTAGTATTTGGACTAAAGCAATTACAGTTATGAAGCAGTGATAATTAACATTTTTTCTATCATACATTAAATATTCTTAAAATACATTTTAATAGCTTAGTTGTGGGTTTACATTTTACACTCATTTGCAACTTTTAATAGTATGAAAAAAGGAAATTTGTATTCAAATACCTAAATACTATATCTAAGGCACTGTGCTTTTTTCTGTTAATGAGCTGAAGTAAAAGCAGCTGTATTCAAGAAATGTTCTTAAAAATTGGAGACAGTGGGGGAACTGTTTATAATCATTGGGAATGAAGAAATTCTAATTGGATATATCTTTACCTCAGCCTTTTAAAATTATCTAGAGCAGAGATTTCACGCTGTGTCCACTGCGCCCACCCCCTTTGTGTTAGAGCAGTTCTGTTTTGTGTTTCATCGGGATTCTCCGTAAGATTTAATTGGAACAGAGAGTCCCACTGAAAATGAAGTTTGAAAACCACTAAGTGAGGAAACATCTTAGAAGATAGGAATTGCGCAGACGGAAATGAATGTATTAAAATTCACGGCAGGAAGAGGAAAAGCAGAGGTTTACGGTAGAGACGCGCTCTTATGAAAGGTAAAGGCCTGCAGGTGCAGCAGGATGCTTAAAGCAGCATTTTCTAGCATGTTTCTGATACCTTTGTTAATTTCTGTGAATCATCATTTCTGTCTCTCCCGAATGGAATTTTGTAATTGTCTAGGATGAGAGTGAGTGCCCTTTAAGAAAAAAGATTTTAATAACCAATTGAATAGATTTTATAAAGGTACATTAGCATAAATTGGCCATACGGCTGCCTGCTTGTTAAGTAGCGATGGAACATTATATAACGCACCTCATTTCTTTAGCTGCTGGTTAGAAGTTCCGTTCAGTAGGTTAACCATTCGAGAAATGCCAGAGATGTATGCTTCGTGAGAGGAAGCAAAAATGGTAGATAGTGTCTAAGAGGTTCTAGTGTTCAGTGTAATTATTGGATGGTGTTCTGTGATTGTAGAAAGACTGAGACAGTGTTTATGGAGACTGGAGTTTTTTTGTTTCACATTTCAGCTCTGAAAGCAGAACTCTGGTAAATGACCTTGACCTAAGGAAGGGTCTGTCCCATGACATGGCAGTCCTATCCCCGTGCTCATATACTCCAGGAATGTTTTGACTAGATTTTAGGTTCTCTGCCCTCTATGAGAGCCGACAAGTCACATGATTAAAGTATGCAAGGAGTTTCAGAAACAGTAGGAAGGTACAGGTATGTTTACTGATAGCTAAAAAGTGATCATAAAGACGTGGGGGACAAATTTATTTGAAAATATCTGTCATAGGAAAAACGGATAAATCTATGCTAACCAAGGCCTTACTTGTGGACTAAAGGAACTATTTTCATTTGGGACTTTATGAAGGAATCTTCCAATAGAGTTGAGAAAAGACCTGCCTGAGTAAAAAGTTAAAGTATAGGGAATATAATATCAATCCAATATATACTCAGAGGAAATTGAAGAAAAATCTATATACCATATTCGAATTTTTTTCTGTATTTCTAGATCTCAGATGCTAGCTAGCATTACATCGCACAAGCCGATGGTGCCTTGTAGAACTGTGACGCTGGCCAGCTGGCTGGGCTCCCTCAGGTCTGTAAAGAACCAGGGTGAAGTGTGCGTGTCTGACATGCCAGTGACTCAGGTCACGGCTGAGACAAAGATTCTTATTTCTTTACTCAGTTGAATATGGTTTTTCATCATTTCCTTTTGATATAATTTAGAAAAGGAAATTTCAAAAAGTCCTAATTTTGTTTGCTGTTTAGCCTTGTTAAAAAACACTTTCCTTCCATGTATAAGTGCAATCAACTGAAACTGTTGTCAGTTTTCTACTGTTTCAAAAATCATTTTAAAAAGAAGCAGTCTATTAGCTCTGGGTCTTTGAAAAATGATTATTTTTAAAGCATAAAATTTTATATTTTTAAGTGAACAAATAAAATGTATTATCTAATAGACTCAGGTTAATTTCTACTCGATTGTTTCTATTTTTTACATTTTTCAAGTTTCCAAATTTTCTTTTGTGTGTCTAGTAGTTCATCTTTCATTACTATAGTAGATATTTTGCTTACTTGACTTATGACACCATACATGATACCCAAACATCACCATTTAGTTATTATCACAGAACAAATTGCATCACATTGTATACGAACATAAATCACTTTTAGATTGATACCAGAGTTCTAGAAGCAACTGGTGGAATCAGAAATTGTCTCTGGGCTTGAGTTTTTTCCCCTGTGAGATAGTTTTTAAGGGTTGGCAGAGAAGTTCCAGGGGATTCATATCACTAAAGGAAGTAATGATACTGTGTCTGTTTTTTGAATCAATAAGGCTCAGCATGCCTGTGACCCACCATCCCCCAGCTAAGGACCCCGTTGAACAGTGCTAGCTGCTGAGGTGGTTTTGACCCTTTCACAGTTTTTAATTGTCAGGTTTATGTTTTCACCTGTTAAAGACAGACAGCGTAATGAGCTCTGACATTAAAAATAACAAGCAAATGCAGCATGTGAAAGTGATAATTCAGCAACAGGACCTTCACCTGGAATATGTTGGTATATCTCTGACCAAAACTTTTATGCAGCTTTTACAGGTCTCAGGCACTTCAAACACTAATGTTAAATAGAAAATATAATTATTATACCTGCTTAGGGTTATAATTTAATGGGAATAAAGAAGTATTTTCAAATAGCAACATGAAAACTTTTTATCATTTGAAATTAAAACATAATTATAAAAAGAAACCAGTACATCTTTGTAAAGTAGTATCATTTTATAAAAGCAGTTTTTAATCTGTTTTTCAGGTTGAATATGTAATTAAATCAGTATTCATTTTTCTATTTTGTTTACCAATCAGAGCAGGATATATTTAATTTTAAAATTTGTTGAATAGTCATAGTGGTTTTGTTTTTTCAAAATTAAAGTACCTTGAGCACTGAGTATCACTTGATATTTGTCTTTACATGTGTATTTTGAATATTATTGATTACAAATCCCTTTATCATAATCCACCTGGGTTTGCAGCAGCAGCAGCCGCCTTCCTTTGTAGAAGGGCTCACTGCAAAGTGTGCAGAGCACTGTGCTGGGGGCTGGGCTGGGGCAGTGGTGAGACCACCCCCCACCAACAGCCTGTGCCCCAGGAAGATAAGGAACACACCAAATACCAGCGCTCCAACCTGGAACGACACAGGAGCAGAGAGAAGGTGCTCTGGTTTTGCAGCTAAGGAAGCCGTCACTTCTGGGGTGGCCAAGGAGTAATCACTGAATCAGGGAAAAGGTTTGATGAACACCGGAAATTTGAGTTGGTGACCATTGGTATCTGTGGACACAGTTGTACTCAATAATTCACCGCACGTGGGATGAACAGGATCAGGAAAATTCTGTTTTGTTATTTTTTAACTTTTTTTTTGGCTGGGGGAGGCATGAATACCTGATACACATGCATTTACGTTGAAACCCTGCAGGTTCACAGACCTCATGTGCGTTGAAACATCGGTTTGGTTGAAGTCTCTGGGCAGAAACTGGGGTGCAACTGATTGGCTCTCCTTCCCCCTTCCCTTCCCCTTCCCTCGCTGTGGCTAGTGCTCCACCACTGCGGCAGTCTGGGGACCATGAGGGGACAGGTGGCTGCTCACTGGAGCAGGCCCAGTGCAATGAGGTCTGCTACGGAGATGACTCCTGGGGCTGCCTGGAGATGCATGAGTGTCTGCCCGAGGCCTTGGCCACCCATCTGGTTGACTGGCATGGCCTAGGACCTGGGCATGCGGACAGCCAGGGAGGAAGGAGGCCTGGCCTCCAAGCTGCCTACCCCACAACTGGGAGTCTCAGCCCAGAGCGCCTAGCACCTTCCAGCCGCTTCCTCCTCTCCACTGTCCAAATTCTCTTTTCACCTTAAAATATGCTGCCCGCCCAGGCCTCCCCTCCCCTTTCCCTCAGGATAGGCTGCAAGGCTATGTTCCCACCCTGTCATCTCTGGAGTTTCCTTGAAGCCACTTTTTGCTTAAGACACCTCATCATGGTAGAAGGGAAGCGATGATCACTTACCTGCCTCCTCCTGGTGAGCCCCTTCCTTCTGGCAGGATCAGCAGGACGAGCCTCCCTTACAACTTTGTTTTAATGCAACAAAATTAAAACAGCTGTTAGAAATAATCCAAACAGAGCTTTGGAAACAGGTGGTGGTGGTGGTTGCGCAACACTGGGAATGTAATCAACGCCAACTCAAAACGGTTAAAATGATAAATGTTATATATATATTTTACCACAAGAACAAAAAATTGTTTTTAAATTTATACAATATGAGCCTATGCTGGCTGACACTGTCCCTCCAGTCCTCTAAGACCCTTCACCTGTGGCGAGTCCCTGCGAGGCCCCATGTGTCCCAGCCACAGAGCTGGAAGGGTTCGGATGTGGCAGCATGTTGAGGGATCATGACGTGACCGGGGGATGGCTCTCAGCACAGCTCCTCTTACAGTTAAGGATCAGAGCAGAGGCCTCTGCAGGCGCCCCCAAGGGCCCTGCTCCCAGCCAGACACGTGTGAGCATCTGGAATGCACTCTCTATCCTCAGGCACAGTTTTGGTATAATTTAACTCAGAAAAAATATCTTTTTGAAGTGTAGAGTCACAAACATCAAAATAATACAGCAAGGCCGACGTTGAAAAGCTTTGTTTCTGCCCCATCTTGACTGCCCAATTCCTCCCAGAGGGAACCATTTTTATTAGTGTTTTATGTACCCTTCCAATGTCTATCTCAGGTACATTTTATGTTACTACTTTTCCCCCCTTAATTAAAATTCTCAATTCTTAATTTTTCTCTTTGGGGCTCCTCCTCATTCACTGTCACCAGTTCATGACTCCTCCTCAGATGGGGTCTTGGCTGGGTGGGTGGGAAGGAGGCAGACAAGGGAAGGGTGAGGGGCTGGGAGGCCCTCAGTATGCAGGGGCCTGGAAATTGGGAGTCTCCTGATCACTTTGGTCCCTGTGGTCAGGGCCTTTATGTTTGGAGAAAGAATTCAGAGGACGCTATCAGAAGGGACAGGTCTCTGCTTTAGTTTTAGGATGTTTAGTTAGACCCAGAACACACATCCTCTCAGCAGAGTGGTCGTTCGTTAGGAATGAGGGTGTAATTCCCAATGGGTAGGAAACCTCTGGCCCAAGGAGAAACCCAGCCCAGAAGGATACACTGGTGTCGGGATGGGCTGGAATGGAGCCAGGACCTGGCTTGTACCTCCAGGCCAGCACTGGAGCCCCGTGTGTTCCTCCTGGTGATCATGTCTGTGGTCGAGGCGATGACCTTGTCATCCTCTGTGGACACCTGGAGGGAAGGGGATCTCATGCCCAGTGTGGCAGCCACTAAGCCTCTGGACTTTGACCCCTGTGAAGACCCAAATTGTCCTACCCACTGGGTGGCAGCCCTGGGAGCTGGCGAGTCTGGGGAGGGCTGCATCTTCTAACCCCCAACTCCTAGCTGTGGCTGGGGTTCCTTGCTGGTGGTGGTGGAGTGTGTGTGTAGCATGGGGGGTGAGGGGTGGGGTGGTTGATGACAGGATAGACAGGAAGTGTGGGAGCCAAGTGCTCCCCTTGAGGTCTGGGCGAATCCTTCCCCAGGGACCAGAACCCTTGGAAAAGGACCTCCTGGGGAAGTAGCTCACCTGTGACTGGGGAGCAGTCTTCTGGAGGGAGGGGTGCTGGACTGCCCAGCCCAGGCTGCCTGCTGCCCACCCAGCCGTAGTCAGGGCTCTGGGTGGCCCTGGGGTGGGGAGAGACATCTCTCTCTCTCTCATACCCATCCGGGGCACACACAGACCCACGCTCCTACCCCTCCCTGGTCTCCCTCTCCACAAACAGCTGTTTCCTGGTTCTCTGGCCCTCACCCCACACCGCCCCTGCTTCTGCAGTCTCTGCCGGGGTCAGAGCTGAGGATCTGGTCCCCAAAGTCTCCTCCCTTCCCTCCCTTCCCTCCCTTCCCTCCCTTCCCAACATGCAGGAGCTGGCCATGCGACACTCCAGGTCTCAGCCTTGGTGACTGAACCCAGAGCTGCAGGTGGGGGCATGGAGAGGGCTGAAGCCTGGGCTGCCCCCTGTGAGGCCCTGTGGTCGGCAGGGAGCAGCAGCTACACTGCAAGACCCCTTTCCCACAAACACACCCTCCCTGGACTGAGCTCAGACTGAGGCAGTGGGGGGGNGGTGGAGGGGACTTGTCAGCGTGGGTGCAGGGGGGGAGAGGAAGCTGGCAGGCCACTTTATGGGCGACGAACAGGAGTCTTCACTCTTAAACCCGTGCCCAGCTGCCCCTCCCCAGGTGAAGAACAGAGCACCCTGTGGGATTTCTATTTCAAACTCCTCATTTATTGACATTCGCTTAGTTGTGACTCTAAGTTATCAAAGACGCAGGAGAAGAAATCTGCAGCAGGAGCAGTGAAGTGGCCGGTGGGGAGAGGATGGCGGGAGGACAGGGTGTTCCCAGCCTCTCCTCTTTCTGTTCAGGGTGCAGTTTGGAAAGTGTCCAGATAGTGTCCCAGTGTCCCATCACTAAAAAGCAGTGCATTTGAGTGGGGTGAGCTTCCTCTTGCACAGGTGAGACCCTCGTGGCTACAGAGGCCAGTGGGCAATCTTGAGCCTGTGCCCCAAGCAACATGGGGCGGATGTGGGGGAGAGCCGTGGCCCCCCATTTCTCCAACGCCCCCAAACAAACTCTCATTTGTGGGTTGACAGGATTGAGGCTGGGAAAGCTAGGGAGATAAGACTGCACCAGATGATTTTCACTTGGGGAACCTAATAGACCAGGGGTAAGAAGCAGGTGACTGTTGACCAGGTTGTCTTGACTTCTGCAAAGGCAAAAGGTACGATGACACGGTTATTTTGTGGGGAGGAGGGACAGCCCTTACTGGGGTTGATTGGCTGTGGAATTCCCGGGCAGCAAGGCACTGGGGCTGGTAGGAAGTGGCCAGGGCTGCCAGGCCCAGAAACTCATGTCAAGGGGGTGCACGTGGCCCAGCCAGGGGAATGTTAACGCTGCTGTCCTAAGCTGGTCCCTCTGGAGTCAGAGACAGGTCTCATTACACCCCCTAGAGCTGCCTTCTGGTATAAGAGAAATGTTACCATTTGAGGTCACTCATGGGAGAGCCAGACAAGCGTGTGCTTTTCACAGACAATTGAATCTCCTTGCCTGCTAGTCCTGTCGTCTTGCACCCCTCAGCAGGCGTCCCTGCACACAGGGTCAGGCACTAGGCAAGTGCTCCAGCCCCTGCCAGGACTGGGCCGGGAGAGTGTGGCTTGGTTGGCAGACCTTTCATGGAGTCCTGGCTTCATGGAGCACTCAAGGGTCCTTAGAGTCCATCTGGGCAAGTCTCAGTTCCTTGAAGAAAATGGGGTCTCAGAGAAGGTAAGTAACTGGTCCTGGAGCTAATGAGTGACAAAAGCGTGGCCAGACCGAGGTCCTCTGGTTCTCCACCCAGTGTGCCTTCATTACAGACTGAGTGCAGGGTGACAGGGCCTGAACAGTGATGCAAAGGTGTGAATTGTCGTCCCCCCTCCCGTGGCTGCACCCTGCCCTTGCTCAAACGCAAAATCAGCAGAGGGGCCAGCTCCTTCCCTGCCCTACCCTCTGCAACATTCAAGAGTGTGTGGGGGTTAGTTATGACCTTCAGAGGGGGTGCAGCCCACTCCTTACTGCAGGGGCAGCTGGGAAACTCATCAGATGCGTTCACTCAGATAGCGTAAGGCCACGGCTGGGCTATAAGTGGGAAGTAGGAATTGGACCTGGGGCTAGAGTCAGACAGCAAGGAGTAGGCCCTCATCAGGAAACTGGAGGTGGGGCGGTGGAGGGAGGACAGCAAGCAGAACTGAATTGCTAAGTCAGATCCCTTTAGGCCTCAAGAGTGAGGGCCTCTGTCCCTGGTGGAATGAGTGGTCTGGCTCTACTGTGTCGTGGCTGAATGCCCGAGTAGAAGGCTCTAGAGGGGCACACTTGGCAGCAACATCCCATGGGAGACTCCTCGGCCTCCTCCTGTACCAGCCACGTCATTACTGTGGGGATTGGTTACCTTGATCACCTTGTCTGGGGGTCAGATTTTCCTTTCTAGTTGCTACATCCGAGACCCTCCCACTCTGCAGCTCCTGGAGACGGCAAAGCTTGTGTGCTTTCGGTGACAGGTGTGTGCACACACCTGAGAATGCATGCGCCCTCCCAGGACTGCACCCACGCACACTGCTCGGCGGGGGGGACCACGGGCCCAGAGACCGTCAGCAGGACCTCACTCCCTAACTTAAGCTACTCTAACTTTAGTAACAAAACTTGGAAAAGGTTCCCAGCTAGGCAGCTGGTTCCCGAAGCAGAGAAAGGATGTGTGGGGAGACAAGGTTGACAGTCACTTTGCTGCCTAACCCGCAGTAACCTTATGGCTTCAAAGCCAACTCAGTGTGTTCCACAAGGAAGGAGACAGACACAGCTGTGATGTGGACAGGAATCAGTATCTATTTCTCTATGACAACCAAACATAGAAAACTGGATTGTGAACTGGCTTTTGGATTCGTTCTAGCAAGCCAGTCCTGAAGCAGTCCCTTTAACACCCTCCTCTTCCTGAAATTCTGTGGTGTCTTATTGCCCCTGGCCCCCTGCCCTGCGATCTCTTTCTTCTTTCACTCCCCAAGGGCTCTGGAGGCCTCCAGACCATTGCAAAGCTTACCCTCTTCTCACAATCTGGCAAAGCCAGAGAGTGAGGCAAGCTGGGGGTGCTGGAGCTGGCCGGAGGAACGTCCCAACAGAGACAGTGGCAAAGCTGCCAACTCGAACGTGTCAGGCCCCACCTCTGGGCCAGGGGGCCAGGCCCTGCCCTGGTTCTCAATGCACCCAATGGCTTCAATCCTGGCGAACCTTCCACTGTGGGGCAGGAAAAGCCAAGGAAACGGAGACAGTCCTTGAGGGGTGTTGGAGGGGCCAGCCGCTGGCCCTAGTGCTCCCGATGGAGCTGCAGTGTTGGTGTGCGTGGGGGTGGGGGGTGAGAGGGGTTACACGTCTGTGCTAATAGCCCTTGGATTGGTGAAGGCCTCACGCCCAGAGCCTGGCCATGTCACCGGGTAACTCTGGGGTGCTGCCAATTGGAAGGGCAGGGGTCCCCCCTCCTTGTAGTATGTGGGAGCGAAGGAGAGCCTCTCGCCTCCGCCCCCATTGGGCACCATGTCCGCCATCCGTATGTAAAAGGGGGAGCTGTATGGGGAGCAGGTGGCGCAGTGGCTGGCGGCCACCCTGCACGGCTGGCCACAGGGCTCCCTGGTGAGAGGCGCCAGGCTGCCTCTGCCGTCCAGGGCTTGGGAGCTGCAGGCATTGCAGGGGGGGCCTCCGGGGAGTGTGGGCAGCTCGCGCTCCTCCTCCTCTTCATCTGCATCCTGGTCTCCGCTCTTCTTGCAGCAGTAATACTGGGGGGGAGTGCAGAGGGCCCCCATTAAGTGGCACGGGCACCCACGCCCTTGCTCCACTGTGATCGAACTCAACACCAGAGGCCGCATAGAGATTCCCAGCCTTGTAAGACTTCGCCTTCCTTCCCCTGCTTCCTGGTGTATTGACTCCAGCCGTGGTTGGGGGAGGCGGGGAGGCGGGACGCACAACCGTACTAAGGACAGGGCTGGGGAGGCTGGGAGCGGCTGTCACAGTCTCCCCAGCACGGAGCCCTTCCCACCACTCCTGACGTCTCAGCCGCAGGGGAGACATGCGCAACGAGCTCTCTGGGTGCAGCGTGGGGGACGCAGAGCTCCCTCTGACTACCCCCAACTCCCAGCCCCCTTGACTTGCACTTCCCACAATCCACAGCCCTGGGCTTTGTCACCCCAAAGTGGGCCTCCAGTGTGGGCCCCCCTAATGGGGAAGTGGCTTGCTGGTGGCTTCTGGCCACGCCCCGGGGACTGACCTGGAGCCTACAGTAGCACAGGACGGCGATGATGGAGAGGAGGATGACTGCAGCTAGGATCCCGCCCGTGATCACAACTGTTCCCGCTGTCATCCGCCCGACGCCCCATCCAACTCTGCAAAGAGATGTGTGGACAGGTGAGGGCAGCCACAGCGGCCACCCTGGGCCTGGGCAGGGAGCCCTTCCGGAAATTTCTGCGCAGCTGGAGGCAGGGAGGGCCCTGGGCACTGGGACACCAGGGGCTTCCTGACGACGGGGGTGGCTGTGGCCTGGGAAGCCTCTGGCAGGGGCTTACGGCTGAGGCAGGCTGGACAGGAGGCAGAATGCTAACTGAAGGCATAATTCTGTTTCCTGTTTCTACCCAGTTTCAATCTCCCCCAATTCTCTTCTCCCTCTCCTGTCTCCTCTCCTTACACCTGCTTAAACTGTCCTCTCCCCACCCCGAGGCTCCAAGACACAAAGTAGCTTCCGTTACAGAGTTTACAGTGCCCTACACACTCCCCTGGTTATCTCAGCTAATCCTCCACATAACCTTTGGGCAAGTTCTTTTTTTTTTCTTCAATATATCTTTATTGATTTCAAAGAGAGGAAGGGAGAAGGAGAGAGAGAANACAAGTAGCTTCCGTTACAGAGTTTACAGTGCCCTACACACTCCCCTGGTTATCTCAGCTAATCCTCCACATAACCTTTGGGCAAGTTCTTTTTTTTTTCTTCAATATATCTTTATTGATTTCAAAGAGAGGAAGGGAGAAGGAGAGAGAGAAACATCAATGATGAGTCATTGATCGGCTGCCTCCTGCACGCCCCCTACTGGGGATCGAGCCCGAAACTTGGGCATGTGCCCTGACTGGGAATTGAACCACGATCTCCTGGATCCTAGGTTGCTGCTCAACTGCTGAGCCACGCCCAGCCAGGATGGGTTGGTTCTTAATTATCCCTACTTCACACGTGATGAATGGGGCTTTGAATGATTTGGCTGAGATCCCACCCAGCCTGGTTCACCCCAACATCATGTTCTCATCACTGCCCTCCAGGGTACAACCACCAGTTCCCTGAGTCCTTGACCCAGCTGGAGGAGACAGGGTTTGAATCTAAAAATTTTTTTCTCCCTAATTCTACCCTGGCTCAACTCCACACTGGTTCTCCTCTCTTTCCAACTGTTGTGGAAAACAAGGGCCAGGTGAGCCCAGAGGAAGAAGGCAGGTGGCATTCTGGCTCTGGGAAGGCTGTGGTGAGGCTGGGGACATGGGTCCTGGCTAACGTGAGCTCATGGGACAGAGGCCAGCCTCATGCGGACTCCCCTTGCAGGCCACTGAATGGGATTTCCAAGCGTCCCAGGCTCATGGGGACCAAGGATGGTTGTGCCAACAGAGAAGGAGGGTGGGAAGATGTCTTGGCATCTTGAGGATAGAAGAATGACCGAGAGCACTTACGTTCAGTAAGGGAATGGTGACCTGCAAGACAACAAAAGGGAAGAAGGGTGTTAGCCCCCCGAAACTCCCCATGGGTTAGCTTAGTCCCTGAGCTCCACCTCACCTCATCCTGCTTCGCTCACTGCTGCTCCAGCATCAAGAAGCCTACGGGCCCAGCTGGGCGCGGCTCAGCAGTTGAGCATCGACCTAGGACCCAGGAGATCTCAGTTCGATTCCCAGTCAGGGCACATGCCCAGGTTGCGGGCTCGATCCCCAGTCAGGGGGTGTACAGGAGGCAGTCGATCAATGACTCTCTCATCATTGATATTTCAACTTTCTCTCTCCCTCTCCCTTCCTCTCTCTGAAATCAATAAAGACATTTTTTTTTTAAAAAGAAGCCTACGGGTCCCAAAGCTGGATCTCCAGCTGGGTCTCCAACTGTGAGTAGACAGATATCTCACTCGGATATCCCACTGCAGCTCGAACTCGGGCTAAGTCATCTCCTGCTCTCCACATGGGTCCCCCACCTCTGACCTCTGTCTGTTAGCAGGTCCACAGAGCTGCTATGAAGGGTTTTGCAGGTTGTTCGTTACTCAAAGGGCGAGTGGGGGCGGGACCACAAGTTGCATTCTGCTCACGAAGCCACACACTGTGCTGTGTTCACCTGGTGGAAGGGGCACCTTTCTTTACCCAAAGATACCATCTGCTCCTCACCATGTGCTCCTAGAGCACAGCACGTACCCCGGCCCTGCTTCTAATTCACTCAACCTGCTCACAGTGCGGGCTGTGGGCCACAGCATGGACAGCTCTCGGGCGCAGGTTAGAAATGCAGCATCTGAGGCCCCACCATGGGCCTAATGAGGCAGAATCTGCATTGCAACAAGATCCCAGATGATTAATTTGCATAGTAGAGTTTGACAAAGCCTCAGCATGTGCCCCTAATTGTCTAGACGTTCCAATCCCTAAATTCTTCTCTGCCTCCCCCCAGTCTTCTGTTCTCCACATCAGTGAAGACACTTTGCATGGCATGCATGCCCTGGTGCAATGGTTTCCTAATCAATTTCGCTGGTCTGTCTCTGAGCACCACCCCAGTTTAGCCTTTTATCAGGCCCCAGTGCCTCTCTATTCCTCCAGAGCCTTCCCAGCATCACACTGCCTGCAGGAAGTGTTTCCCTGGGCATGAACTTTTAGACTAAACTTCAACAGCTTTGTCCTGCCCCACTTCCCTGCATGCTCACCACCAGTTCATGTTTCCCCCTCCACATCCCCAGTGTCCTTCCTACATGAATCCTCTGCCCATCAGGCAGGCCTAGTTCTTAAGAAGCTTAATGCCTTGTGATGAAAAGATACTTAATGCAGCTTCCAAGAAGACGTGTTTATAGTCTAGTGATGAAAAGACACTGAACACACCTTATGATCTGGTGTAAGACACACAAACAGAGACACACAGACCAGGGACTGGGGGAACATAGAGGAGGGGCAACTAAGTACTTGGGGAAAGATGCCAGGGAAGATGTAGGCTTGAGCAGAATCCTAAGAGCTGCGTAGGAGCTTGTCCAGTAGACATGGTGGAGAGGGCAGGAGTGTGAAAGAACATGGGGGCTCCAGGACCTGTGAGGAATCTGGAAAGGCCTGGACAGGGCGGGGTAGGCACAAAGCTGGAGAGGCTATAAGCCCGGCAAGGGATTTAACTCTCCCTGAGATGATCAGGGTTCCTGGAGGCTTTTGGGAGCGGAGTGCATGATCTCGCTTTCCCCACCTATTTAAATCCTGCCCATCTCTTGAGGCTCTGAGGTGCCTCCCCGACTGCCCCACCACGATGCTCTCTCTCTTTCTGGGCTCCTCGCAACGCCTTTCTATGTGCCACTTTTCAAACCCTGACTTGGTAGAATGCTTGTCAACATTCATGTGGGAACATCTTGACTCCTCCACTAAATTATGAGTCCTTTGGGATTCGGAGTTGTGCTTTGTATGGTTTCTTTACCTCCCTGCAGCATTATACACAGTGCCTGGCACACAGTGGGTACCTAATAAAAGTTTGGTAATCATCTGGTGTTGCATTTCTTTCACAGGCCTGGCAGTTACGACTCTAATCCACCACCAGGGGGCAGCAAGCTGCATCTCTCAGAGGGCATCCTATATGCAGATGTGGTTTGCCCAGGTGCATGGTGGGCCATGCTCCAGGGGTTCACTGGACATTTGGCGTGGGATGAAGCTCAGCTGAGGAAGGATTTATGTACCTTCACAAAAACACCACTCCACCTTCCCCTGCTCACCACTGAGGGCTGCTTAAAAGACAGAGAGGTCTATGGAGTGAACTGAAGTTGGGCGAGGCAGCAGTGACCCAATCTGCCGAAAAGTCCCGGCCTAGTCCCCTGGGGTGTGCCCAGCCTGTTTAGGAGACAGGGAATTATGAAGCCAAATGAGACCAGTGCCCTCCCTCCTGCCCTCCATGCCTGGCCCCCCCTCTTTCAGTACCTTGAAGGCTGTAGAGCAGAAATGGCTGGAAACGACTTGGGGGGCGGGGGGGATGGAAGCACAGGCAGTCATGGGTCTGAAGGCCCATTCGAGACCCAATTGTACCCCTCACCAGCCACCCCAGATTGTAAACTGACCACCTGTCTTGTAAAAGAGAGAGTAACGAAAAACTCAGTTTACAGGAATAACTGTGAGAAAAAAAAAAAAAGTGAGATTCATGTCTGCGAGGCCCTAGGAGGAAACATGGGGACCTCTTTCTCCTGCCCTCAGGAGGAGGCTGGTGTGACAGAAGCTCCACGGCACTGGCCCTTGAGTTCTAACTCAGAGTCTTGCTGTTGTGTGACCAGGCAAATCACTTCATGGCCTGGCTCCCCCTCAGAATGGATTCAGTGGGGGCCCACTCAGGGACCCAGGGCAGCCAAAGAGGACAAACCTGTTGCCAACTGAACACTCCCAGACCCTGCCCTCTGTGAACACAACTCTCTGGAGCTCCATCCCCATCAACCCCTCACCTTCGTTTTGGGGGGAGAGGGGTTGGTCTGAGCCTCACACTTACATGAAACAGCTGCGGCAGCGATGACTCAGTCACACAGGCGGAGCCTGAGCAGACAGATGGAGATGCGTCATGGCCCAGGGCGTCAGTCTCTGCTGGAGAAGAGAGGGGGCGGTCAGCGAGAGGGAGAGGGGAGGCGAGAGGACAGACGAGCTCATGTTGGCACCAGGTTGTGACCCCAAGACTCTGGAGCGGACATCCCCAAAAGGGCTTTTTCCTTGACCTTTTTCCTTGGTTTCTGAGGCCCCCACCCTAAGAACCTGAGGCCACATCCCAACTGGTCCTTGTCTCCTCTCAGTGCCACTGTCCAGAACCCTCCGCCCAGAGCAGCAGCAGGGCGCTGGGCCAGAGCCTCTGCCTGTTCTGGGAAGTGAGGCTCACTGGGGAAAGGGAGTCCACTGCCTCTCTCATGCTCCACTGCAGAATTCTGACCTGTCCCCCAGTGATGTGTCCTTGTTACCTGCACAGCTGATACCTCTCTCCGTGGCCCTGCATCCCTCTTTCCCGTCCCCTCCCCCCTTCTCCCCTGGGTCTGTCCACATTCCCACGAGCAGCACACTGCTTTCCCAACACCTGTCAGGACAGCAGGGCCACTGGACAGTTGGATGAACAAGTCAGACAAGATGACAAGATCATTATGTGATAACAAGATCATCGTGCTCAGAGGACAGGAAGGCAGGACCCAACTGAAACACTTAGAAACCCAGCGTAGGCTAATTAGTGAGAGTTCCTTCAAACCAAAATTCTGTAAATATCCACTCGACATTATTCAGAAGAGTATGAGCCTTACTCTGGGAATGGGGTGTAGGCAGAGGAATGGATTCAGTGGGGGCCAGTGGCTGAGCAAGGCATTGCAAGGGACACCTGGGGTAAGGGAACTGCAGGAGAGGGAAGCCCAGCAGAAAACCTCGAAAGAGCCCACAAAACATTCACAAAAGCAAGAGACAGCTTGGAAGCGTCAAGAATTTCCCATTTAATCCCGGCATTTAGTGACACAGCAGTTCTGGGGGTGGAAGGTAACAGTCAAGGAGGTAAACAGCAGAGGGACATGCCCTGCTCCCTGCCTGCTTCCAGACTGAAGCAGATCAGACTGGAGGAAAGGAGAAGCCCAGTGCTGTCAGATTGGGAGTGTTTTGATTATTACTCGTGATGGGCACTTTAATTTCTGAGTTGAGACGGCATCTATAACTTGGAATGACTATAAGACTGTCTAAGAGTGGATGAAAAAGCCAAGGGACTGGCCCAAGTTTTTATCTAGGGGCAGGGGAAGAGTTCTCCCACTGGATACATTTTTAAAGCAAAGGGATGCTTGAAAAAAACAAAAATCAAAGTTGCTTTTTTGAGGACAAACCGTGCAATATGCTTGTTTAACATGCCAGTTACTTAAAGAAAAATGATCCACAGAAATGAAAGAACTCTAAGAGAGCTGGACCAATATCATTATTTTCTAGGTGAAGAAACCAAGTTCAGAGAGCACAGGTGACTTGCTCAACCACACACAGCAAGATAAACACAGAGTGGGAAAGGCACTGGGAGTGAAGCTGCCTGGCCCCGGGCCAGGGCCCTGCCATTAAGATGCTGTCCCTCCTTCCAGAAGACCTGCACTTATTTCACCAGGAACTAAGGTGTTCCCTGGAGTAGGGTTTCTCAAACTGGCTTGATGGTAACAATCACCTGAGCCACGTGTTAAAAAACAGACTCCAGACTTCCTGAGGCAGCGTCTCCAGCCAGGCAGGGGCCCCAGAATCTGTTTTTAACAGGGCCGAGTCTTACCATCTGGCCCTTTTGGAAAATGATGCGGGGGGAAAAGGTCTTTGGGAGGATTTCAGGCTGGAGGCTCAGGGACGTGGGTGACCTTGCAGAGCTGCTGCCCATAACACAACTGGCTCTGGATTCTGTGCCGTTGGGGCAAACGAGCAAGAATGCAGCAGGAGAGGGGAGAGTGAAGAGAACCAAAGGCACTCGGGCCCCTGCCTGGGATGGAGCCAACAAAGAGGTCAGGAAGGGACCTTCAAGGCCATTCTTCTAGTGGAGGCCGGGGCCCATTAAAAGCCACCCGAAAGAATGTGTTGGGAAGTGAGTTTCCCACTCTCCTTAAGGGCAGGGGTCTGTGCTCTCCCTGAAGGGTCCCTGCCCTCAGTGACTTCATCGTGCCGAGGCAGGGTCACCTCCCTCACTGCCTGGGTGAACACTAGAAGAAAATGCCAGCCACAGCTGGCACCGGCACATGTAATTAATGATGGCCGTCCCCTGCTCCTTGCTCGGCCCCCTTAGGAGCAGAGGTTAATTGAGTGGGGCCTAAGCTCCGGCGGATCTCAATTTCTTCTGATGCAATTAAGCCTTCTCCAACCATTTATTAACTCATGAAATCGACACAGCCAGCGGGCTAGCAGCCGGGGAGAAGAGAAACAGGTTTTTCCTTGTTACCTGTCTTCCAGGACCGCAAGCTTCAGGCAAAGCTGGCAGAGGGCATGGGAGGAAGGGGCTCCTTTTACTTGGACTGGGCCTATGGCCAGTACCGAGCCCTGACCCCCAGGATGACGGTGCGAGGAGCCAGTGGTCAGATCCGTTCCTTTGCCCCAGATGGGCAACTACAGTAGCAAAGAGGCCAGTACTGTTTGAGAAGGGGCCTAAGAGATACAAGGAACCTTGCAAATCATCAGGCGGGGGTAAGAAGCACCTCAGTATAGTAATGGGCACTGGGCTGGTGGATTATGAAAGAGGAAACCCAGAGACCAACAAGAAAATGAAGAGCTGCCCAAACTCAATAGTAATCTGAGAAATGGAGGCCGACATGTGCTAACTGAGAAGGCCGTTTTAGGGAACACAGAGCACAGCAAGGGCTGAGCCCTGGACATAATGCTGGGCACCACGGAGAGGGGCAGTTTGCCAGGTGAGCGCACCACCTAGGGAGTGAGGCAGGCTGGAGCGTCAGGTCTTGCACTGGAAAGCAGTCGCAGAGCCGGAGTGGCTTGTTCGCAGACTTCCTGAGCTCTTCTGCTTTTTGTGACGTCTCTCTTCCCAAAAGCTACAACTCTGCAATTCAGTATTCTTGCACAATGCATACCCAATACCTGACAGGCATCACTTCATTTCAATCCTGCAAGATCCCTGGGATGGAGGTTCTCATTTCCTAAAGTCTAGAGATGGTGAAACTGAGGCTCAGAAATTTAAATTATTTGCCCAAGCCCATGCAACTGGTGAGAGGCACGGCCAGGATCTGCACCCAAGTCTGTCTGCCCCAAAGCCCCCCACACACATCCAGGTTATCTGGACTCAGCTCATAAGAGACCTACACTGGTGCTGATAGGCTTTGACACTTACAGGGAGGCAACAGGGTCAGTGGAAGGGCAGGTGTTGGCCAGAGCAGGCTTCCTCCTGAGGCTCAGGTCAAGGAAGCCCCTCTGGGAGAAGGCAAATGGGCTCTGAGTGGTTACTAAGTGCAGTCCGGGAGTAACAGTCTTATTTAAAACCAGAGGAATATCATTTGGATTTACCAAATATATGAACAGGTAAGTAGATAGTGGGAAACGGAGGATTAGTCACTTTCAAAAGTGGTTCCCTTAGCCGGAGAATTATTCTTTGCTTTGACTGGTCAGAGGACCAGGGAAACAGATACAGGAGTGTTAGAGGCTGAAGGTCAGACCTGCCACTGATTACACACATTGAGAGACGTGATCGGGTGCTGCTATGTGACAAAACGTCTTTTACGGAGAAAAATCCTGAGAAACACATTATTCATATTTGCATAGCATTTTACAGCTTACAAGGCCTATAGATTAACTCACTGTCTTCTAGAACTCTGATCTGGAGGACACATGGGCCAGGAGTTCCCAAGAGGGCACCAGCGTCATCTGGGGAGTTTTGTTACCATTCAGGTCCCCAGATTCCACCCAGTCCAATGGAATCAGAATCTCTGCAGGGAAGCTGTATGGCTACATGCTCCCACGGGGCTTGGATTTGGGCACTGCTGTTCTCAACCAGGCCAACCATCACTGCCTCCAATGGTCTCTCTCCTGGGCCCTGCAGTGGGCCCAGGCTCCTGTCTCCAGTCTTTCTCTGTCCAGTCCCTTCAATCTGTCCCAAACTAAGTTCCCTTAAACACACCTAATCAGGCCCCTCCCCTGCCTCTCTCCCTAACTCCCTCAGGCTAAAGGCAGGCACTTAAGGGCTCCGTAGAGTGAATGTTTAGACCTCACTCCTACCCTCTCCTGATGCCTTGTTCAAAGCCCCTCTATGAAGTGTTTCCTGATTTCGCCCCAGGCCTGTAATAGGTGCTGTGAATCTTTTATTAGCACTGTTTTCAGTTGTGCAGTTATTTGATTACAGACACATTTAACTGCAAAAGAATGTGGGAAAGGGAGCCTTTGGGTAGGGGGCTGTGTCTGGTCAGGTCCAGCACTTGCTAGGTGCTCTATAAACACTGAATGAATGAATGAATGAATGAATGAATGAATGAATGAATGAATGAATGAATGAATGACTGTATACACACATGCATGCAGGTACCTTGAGGTGCCATTTATGTTCACTTTAGATCAAGCAAGTTTCAAGAATAGATGTGTTTAGGGTGAACACTCCACTCAAAGGCCTAATAATGTGGCTATATAGCTTACTGTATTCACCACAAATTAAGAGGAGCCTGGGCTAAAGAGATTGCCGAGGAGTTGGAAGACTCTGCTTTAGGTTTCATACCACTTACTCCATGACCACTTAATGTTTCTGAAATAATCTCATTTCCAACATTATTAATAATCCTGCTTTGTAAGTCAAAGGATGTCAAGGTTTGCCTAATGGGCTTTATCTAATTCACCCTCCCGTATTCCTGATGGTGAGGGCGGCCTCGCTCCATTTTCCTGGCAGCAGGCCTCATGTGGCCAGTGTGCAGGCAGAGCTGGTGGCAGGGTGCCAGTGTGGGGCGCAGGCACCCTGCTCTCCCAGCCGGCCATCCACGGCTGGAGCCTGCAGAAAGGGCCCTGGACATGGGCTCTTTAGCCAACCTGTGCCTGGTTCTGGATCTACCCGGGGGGGCCTTGGGACCCTGGTGCTGTCTCTGCCACCCTCCTGAGGGAGAGGATCTCAGAAG